CTCGACTTGCGATCAGAGTCACGGAACAGATTAAGTTCGTAAGTAGAGGTACCACTGTAGTTGGAGTCCAATCCAATGTCCTTGTTGTGGTCCAAATGGTAATGGGCAAATCTGCCCTCATGAAATTAATTAAAAAATAAATATGACATGACATTGAAGATTGTAACAGTTAAAAATAAAGTCCCCATACAGGCACATGTGCAGAAGGAAATTCTGCAGATGTTAGAAATACAGGTAGTCCTCGTTTAGCGACTGCCTCAGACAGTGACCATTCGTAGTTATGACTGATGAAAAAGTAACTGCAGCCAATCCTCACAATGACATCTTTCACAGGTCTGTAAAATAAGGAAAGCTGACCTAAGAGCATAAGCAGTCATGGTTTCACTTAGTGACAGCTTCGCTTAATGACCAAGTTGCTGGGTCCAATTGTGATCACTAAATCTGATTTAATTGTCATGTTTCTTGTGAAATTACCCACGAATCTATCTAAGGCGTTTAAGCCATTCTGCTATGAAAAGTTCAGAAACTTGTGCAACTGACAAGGGTTTTAATCATTTTGCAGCTCTTCTGCTATGAGTATATCAACAGTGTTGTCATACATGCATATATGTGTGTGTGTGTATATATATGTGTATAAATTTGTGTGTGCGTGCACGTGCTTATGTATACGTACATACATATATGTGAGAAACTTTCTAGCAGCACTCTAGCAGTACCTATATGGTTATTATATTCCCCCATACAGTGAGAGAGGCAAAATGCTAAAATTGATGAAAATAAGACTGGGAGTTCTTAAGAGATTTTCACATTTTATTTTGTGTTTTTTAAGAATAAAATTAAAACACATACCATACGTATGGTGGACAAATATTTCAAAACAATGAATGTTCTGTAGTCAACAAGTTATTTGCTTTGTTTTTGCAGATGAAATTTGGATACCAGCAAGTTATAGGGACGCAATCTTGGCAAACTCTTGTCCTGTTATTTTGGATTCTTTTCAGTTTGTGTGTCTCAAGGATGCGGACCAGGTATGTGGAGAGATGAAGGTCGTACCTTGTATGCTTAACTGTTACCCATCTTGACTGATTAAATCAGCCAGGGCAGGACTGGCCCCATGATTAAGGGAATTGATCCATCCTTCCCGATTGGAGAGATGAGTTCCCCTCCATTTAAAGAAGACCTTTACCAAAGGAATCCTTTGGTACGAAACAGTACAGCACAACGAGACTTGCAAGATTGATGTCAGCCCCCCTACAGGTAGTCCTCACTTACCAACTGCCTCGTTCAGCAACTGTTCAAAGTTACAATGGTGCTGAAAAAATAAGTTTACAGTCAATGTCTGCATTTACGCCCTTCACAGTGTCCCTCAGTCACGTGATGCCATTACAGTCAGTACATGTCCTGCGCCTGACCTGTTGTTTTTCCTTTTTTCCCCCCTTGCAGAGCAGAGAGTTTGGAAAGGAAGGAATTACAAGAGTAAGCAGACACACAGTGGGGAATACGCATCAAAAGCAATGCACTGGAATCAGCAGTCACTAGTGTGCTATGCAAACAGCTTGTTGTGTTCCCCGTTGTGTGCCTGCTTACTTTCTTGTAATCCCTTCCTCACTAATCCCTCTGCTGTGGGGGGGATGGGTCGGGCACAGGAGAGATTGCCTACAGAAATAGCTTGTATTTTTTCTTCCCACTGCCCCCTCTTCCGTAGAGTGGAGAGATTGGAGAGGAAGGGATTACAAGAGAGTAAGTAAGCACACAATGGGGAACATACATTGAAAGCAATGCGCTGGCGCTGGCAGCCACGAGCATACTACACAAACAGCCTAGTGTATTCTCCATTGTGTGCCTGCTTACTCTTTTGTAATCCCTTCCTCTCCAATGACTGTAAATACAAACATTAATTCCATTCTTGCTAATTATCCCAGCACCGGTGTGAGTATTCCAAAGGGCAGAAGAGTGGGAAAAAGGAGAGCACAGTTGCAGTCATGTGATTTCCCATTTAGCAACCGCTTTGCTTAGTGACAGAGTTGCCGGTCCCAACTGTAGTTGCTAAATGAGGACTACCTGTATGTAGACCAGACCAGAAAATCTACTCCACAGGAAGACTAAAACTACTTATACTGAGATTGGCTTATAATAACAGAACCTTGCAAGTCTTATTGTGCTGTACCTCCTCTTCCTTCTTATAGTTCAGTGAATTAGGGAGATGTCTGGCTGAGCCACTTCTGAATGTTACCGTGTTCTGGGGCTTAAAAAGTACTTCAGCCCTTTTTGCCTAGGCAACAGATCCTGCATATCTTCATCAAGGTCATCTTCCTTACTCTCTACAGCTAGGCTTCTAACTAATCCAAAGTACAGGGAGTATATGATGATTGCATGGAAAGACATGCATTGATTGCTAATTGTTCATCAGGCACAATTTAAGGTATTGGTATTGACTTGATGAAGTGCCAAATAGCTTAGTGTCCAGCTACTTAAGGGACTGCCTGTCCTGTTATGAATATGACCTCCTATCAGAGGCCACTCTTGAAAATGCCCTTGCTGTCAGAGGCTCATCTTTCTAGAGTGTCAGTAATGGCCTTCTCTTCATTGCTCCCAGACTATGGAATGCTCTCGGGAATTGCATTGGACCCCACTCTCATTATTTAGAAAACATCTAGAAACGTGTCTCTTGCCAAGCTTCCAATTGTTAGATGTTTTATGGTTTTAACCTGTATTAACATGTTATATTCTGTTTCATGTTAAATGTTGTTTTCCCAATAACCCACTTCCTCACTAATTATGAATGTGAAGGCTGCTGAAGATATGGGCACATGAACTTGAATTCTGTCATCTTCTGAGAGAAGAAATTGCAAAATCAGGCTGAAAATATAGTAGCTGGTCATTCCTCCCAAGCTTACTTGGGCACAGAAGTAGTCTTAGGTTGTACCACGTCTTCTCCCAAATCTTGCTGGGAAGGAAAAACAAGCAGATATTTCCTGGCCTCCCATTTTTGGAAATATATCATCCAGTTTTTAGGCTGAAAACCGCTTCTACCCCCACTCTCACCCAAAGTGCTTTTCTGTCTCTCTGGATTTTTAACCATTTTGTCTGGAAGAGATTTTGGAAACTCAAAATGTTGCAACGGCTTTGAAAACCTGCTGTCAGTGTAATAAAGCTATTACTTCAATATGGATTTTGGATTAAAGCATAACCATTTTTTCATTGAATGAACTAACATTGCTCCTGCTAGGATATTTATACTCTCTTTGATCTTTCCAGTCCAACTTTTCTCCTTGCTTTTCGTTTCACAGGCATGGATTCTTTCCAACCGTTTCACGTTAAGGCTTGCCTC